ATATATATATATATATATATATATATATATATATATATATATATATATACATGTTTGTGTATGTATGCGCGTATGTATCTATCGCAACCTGAATAGCCGTGGAATTGCCGATGAAAGTGGCGGACATTTTCAAGCCCCGCGGGGGTATGTCGCAAACGGCGGTCTTCACGTTGCACGGTATCCAATCGACGAAGTAGCTGCTGTTTTTGTTCTGGATATTCAGCATCTGTTCGTCCACCTCCTTCATTGACATCCTACCGCGGAATACCGCGGCCACCGTCAGATATCGGCCGTGTCGCGGGTCGCACGCCGCCATCATGTTCTTCGCGTCGAACATTTGCTGGGTAAGCTCCGGCACCGTCAGAGCCCGATACTGTTGCGAGCCCCTGTTACAAAACGTCAGCTTAGAATTACGACGGTCCATGCGGCGCACTAATTGCAAACGCGAACATATATACAGTGGAAAATGAAATGTCAATTTTATGTCCTAGAAAGCCCACTCTAAATTTTAAATTAAGATAATTCGTTCGTCGGAAATCTTGTTCATACACTAAAAATGTTAATTAACTGACATTCGCACATCTTTCCTAACATTTATATTTATTATTTTTACTTTAGTAGACTTAAGTACATATAAAAAATTATCCTTTTTAAAAATAGTATGCTCAAATTAACAAATCTCTCAAATAAATAAACTCTTTCAAAAATAAACTCTTTCAAATAAATAACGATGTATAATTTTGTTAAAAGAATATTAGAGTCTTGAATTTCAACAATATTATAAATTTATTTGAACATTATAATAATCTCATAAGAAGTACAATATTTACATTATTTTAATAATAATGATATCTTTTTCCGATCCCTTTCTGGCATTGTGTAAGCTGAAGTAATAAAATTTATTATTTAGATATCTTTTTCTGACATTTAAAAACATCATATTCTCAATCAAATATTTTATGCTTCCTATTCGTGAAAATAATTTTTAAATAATTTTTTTATTTTAATATTCTTTGTTGAATCATATAAAATATATTGATGCAAGTAACTTGTTTTATTTAACGCTACGTAATCTCATTTTAAAATTTAAGATTTAAGATTTTAAGATTTAAGATTTAAGATTTAAGATTTAAGATTTTAAGATCACGAAAAGATATATTTAAAAGAAAATGTTCCTTTTTCTGTGCACGACTAAAATAATATTTTATGTTATTATGCTAATGTGTTAGTTAACTGAAGAGAGAATTGCATTAAAATATACTAATTTTTACGTTAATATCATACGAAAGTGTTCTATAAATTCTCCTTGTAAGTTACTTTAACTATCCTTTCGTATATTGTTTATTGTTTTTATACCGTATTTATGTCGCATGCGCAAATTTAAAATTAAAACAACAAACAAATATAAAACCATATAAACATATAAAACCATAAAACAAATATAAAACCATAACAAATATAAAACCATAAAACAAATATAAAAGCATATATTAGTGGCAATTGATTAACTTTAAATTCAAAATTCACATCTCGAAAGTCTTTTTTCTTCTTTCTCGGTATTTTCCATTAAAATTTATGATTCTTCACCGCAGAATCTCGATTGATAATATAGAAAGCGAGGAAAATCACATCTATTCTTACGTGCCACTTTTAAATCAGAAGATATTTATATGAAGAAACACTTTAGATCGAACACTCAAGTATACTTGTAAAATGCTTCGAAAATTATTCTTTTCTCTTAACAGTGCATAAAAAGCCGTAAAATTAATATGATATACAATCTTCCTCTTTAACTTATTTTTTCTCATTTTTTATAACATTAATTTTTATAACATTTTTTATAACATTTTTTATAACATTTTTTTAACATTAACATTAATTGTAGTTCTTCATTGACTGTCAAGGGGAAAGAATAGTTTCCAAAGCATTTTACAAATATATTCAAATAACCTGAAGTGTTCTTTCATTTAAATAACTTTTTATTTGCAAGTAGCACGCAAGAATATTCACCATATCATTTCTCGCCCCCGACGTCACAACTCAAGATAGCCGCGGCGGCCATCTTGGTACCCAAGAGCCTTAACTCTTCAATACCGCCGCTATCGCTACGTGGAGCGTATTAACTTCCCTCGAGAACAAATTTCGAACCTGGAGGTAAGGGGAGCGAAGCCGGGGATGAAGAAGTGCAGTCGAGGGAAGGGCACCATGTTGACAGCAAGCTTTCGCAGATCAGCGTTAAGCTGCCCGGGGAATCTCAGGCAAGTGGTAACGCCACTCAAGGTCGCGCTGACCAGGTGATTCAGGTCCCCATAGGTCGGTGTGGTCAGCTTGAGGGTTCTGAAGCATATATCGTAGAGCGCCTCGTTGTCTATGCAATATGACTCGTCAGTGTTCTCCACCAGCTGATGCACCGACAGAGTGCAGTTGTAGGGCTCGACCACGGTGTCCGATACCTAGGCAGAGGCGAGAAATAACGGCTGACGTAAAGCGTATGGCATCTCGCCCGTCGTGCGTATCTCACCAAACGTATATGCCTCTAAGTGTGTGTATGTGTGTATGTGTGTGTGTGTGCATACGATGTGAGGCGCATTGTACGCTTGCAACTCGCGCGCGGTATTGTCCTATTAAGGACAAAAGGTGGGTTTCTGTCGGCACCTTTTGTTTCGTATCCATTGTACCTTATCCTGTTCGCGCATCGGAAAGACTTACGCGTTACACCGGCCGCGGAATACAGCCCCCGCGGCGGTTCCCGATACGAGAACTGGTCCGAAGCGAATGTAGTAACTTTGCCCCGACGTAAACCCGATCGCGAGTTTCGATCTCCCGAAAATCATCAGTCGAGACTCCGAGTCTTCTAATAATACCGAAAACAGCAAAGCGAAGGGGAACAGCTTCTCCTTCGAAGAAACGCTAAAGTCATGCTGATCGAAACGCGTCGAACTTTGCGACGCATGTTGACGTAGAGGAGACCGACTCAACTGCCTTAAGGGTTATGTTGTGTGTATTTGTATATGAATCTGACTTACATCTGATTTATGCTTGATATATATATGCTAAATTATACTTGCGTAATAAGTAATCTCGAATTTTTCAAATAAAAATGAAACAATTATATTTTCAGTTATAACTTCCCAATGAAAAATTTTTCATATATAATTATATAAAATTATATATAATTATACATAATTATATATTATTATGTATCAAATTTGTCCATTCATGTTCATACATTCTACTTATATATGTAATTATACATAATTATGTATAATTATATATATAAATTCATGTATAATTTTATATAATTACGCATAGATTTATATGTAATTATACATATTGTTATACATAATTGTGTATAATTATATATAATTTTATATGATTATATATAATTATACATAATTATGTATGGACAAATTTCATATATAACTTTGCATGACAAATTTTTCATCGGGTTTGTGGAACAATGCATGCAGAAGATGGCAGAAAATCATAGTTAAAATGAGCACATTTTGATTGATAAAATTATAACGACAAAAATACAATTGTTTTACTTTATTTGAGAAATCTGAAGTTGCTTATTACAACCCAATATTTATTTCCAGATAGCACACGATATCCTATGCACGTTCTTAGGATATTAGAATGTCTTCTGAACGTTTTTAGGATGTCCCTGGAAAATTTGTGCTATTGGAGTTGTGAGAAACAATAATTGTAAAATGTTCTTTATAGAATATAAGCGCTTTTTCTTTTAGAGTATAGAGAAGATATTTACGTTTTAAGTAATCACAAAATATAGTATTTAGAACACAGATATTTCTCCAATGTTCTAAAAGTAATATTCCTTTTTCCACTGCTTTTTACAATAAATACATAATCGCAAAATGTTTCTTTTAGGACATGAGGAAAATATTAAGTACTTGAAAGCAATATTTTGCATTTATGTGTATTTAAAATATTGGTACTTTTCTTATATATTAAAGTTCCTGGTTTCTCACCGCGAAACTCTTGATTAATGATTAATGATGTCAGAGACGAGAATATAAACGCTCAAAACTTTTGCAAAGTTAAAATAAAAAATTATATCTATAAAATGGCACTTGCAATCGATTTGCTTGATCGATATTATACGTGTCATTTTGTGAACACATAATTTTATTTCAACGTGTCTTGTAACAATTTTGTCTCGCTTCTGACATCATAAATCATGACGGCCACGGCGAAGAAACGACAGCCTTAACCCTACAACTCTAAGTATCAAAAAGTTACGTAAATTCTAAACATGAATTGATTTTACCCAGCGCGTTTTTATTTACTCATAACTTCTGTAAAAATGGTCAAAATCCAATTTTTTAATTAACGTAAAAAACATTGAGGATCTATATTTTAAGTTGAGAAAAGTTATAATAAAATACAAAATACATATTCTTAAGAACGGTTGATATTTATGGTTCTAGAAAAAGGAACAATTTGCGGTTTATTAGAATATATAAGACTCTCGAAGATATAACTTTAAAAGAAGAGAAAACGACCTATAAGAACTTATCGCGCTTGTTTTACGACTGCCAAATTTGGGAAGGTCCAAGTTCGATTCCTAACTAAAGCAATATTTTTCGCAAAATGGACATAGAATCACAATGAAATCATAAGTCAAGTAATATTTAATTTGAGAATGGAATAGAGAGAATGAGAGAGATAGTTTGAAAAATTATCTTTTTTAAAAATAATATACTCAAATTAACAACTGTAAATAACGATGTATAATTTTGTTAAAAGAATGTTAAAGTCTTTTGAATTTCAATAACATTATAAATTTATTTGAACATTATAATAGTCTCATAAGAAGTACAATATGATTATTTTAATAATAATGATATCTTTTTCCGGTCCCTTCCTTGAACAGAGATAGTGAATTCACTGCTTACGTCAAAGTCCAGGAATTATTCGAGGCGTGAATCATTCAAACAACGAGACCTTCTCGTGTAATCATTAAAAATTTGGCAGTCGTATCAAACAACCGCGACGGGCTTTTAAAGATCATATTCTCTTCTCTTACCTTGTTTCATTTATTGTGAAAAAAAAAAACAGAAAAATGAGAAATCGCAAAATGTCTTTTCTACAACACAGCAAAAATATCTATGAAAGGAAAACTACAATCTTCTAAAGAAAGAAAGAATTTTATGATTCTGTATTTATCGTAGAAAAGGAATCTCACGAAGTGTTCTTTCACTTTCCCTACATTCTAAAAGTTTTGCGTTTCCTTTCTCACTGTTTCATTGACAATAAGCGGCGCCAACATAACTCTTGGGCCAACTTGACCCGGTTTCTCGTGTATACCTTCGGGGACGGCACCACACTGAAGGTCATCATTATCCTGTCGGGATACTCCTCGCGAATCTTGGAGATAAGCAAGGTGCCCATGCCGGCGCCGGTGCCGCCGCCCAGCGAGTGTGTGAGCTGGAATCCTTGCAGGCAGTCGCAGCTCTCGGCCTCCTTGCGCACCACGTCCAAGACGGAGTCGACCAGCTCGGCGCCCTCGGTGTAGTGGCCCTTGGCCCAGTTGTTGCCGGCGCCGCTCTGTCCGAACACGAAGTTGTCCGGCCGGAATATCTGGCCGAACGGTCCCGATCGCACCGCGTCCATCGTCCCAGGCTCGAGGTCGACCAAGATCGCACGCGGCACGTATTTACCACCGGTCGCCTCATTGTAATAGACGTTTATTCGCTCCAGCTGAAGGTCCGAGTCGCCGTGATACGTGCCCGTGGGATCGATACCGTGCTCGTCCGAGATCACTTCCCAAAACTGTAATCGACCGTAAAGAACGTAAGCTAGCGCTCCGCTCGAGTGTAAATCCTGGGCTTCGTTTCCCCATGCTCGCGACCGCTGAAAATTGCGCCGCGCAACGCGAACCTGATAGAAACATGAAGTTGTTCTCGCGTGTGTTATCGCCTTACGATATGAAACCTCAAACTCGCCGAACAGATTTCAATTTACTCTCTCCCTCTCTCTCTCTC